GAGATGCTCGGTTTCCGAATGGATTCCGTTTGATTTGATACCCATTATATACCATTGAAGGGTTCGGGTTTGGTGTTTAATACACGTTGGGCGTGATCCGACTCATTAGATCAAAAACGTTAGTGGTGACTCCAGATCTAACCATTCGCTCGCAATATACAGAATTTTAAGTAAAATGACCAACCCAATATAAAATAATTCGAAACATTGTCTCATTTGGCACACTTTTTACTGTTATAAGGGGAAACGACCATCAAACCATATAAGATAATAAGAGGAAACGACCATCAAACCATCAAACTTCGAACACACATCTCACAATAAGAGGAAACGACCATCAAACCATATAGCCTATTATATCAATTCATTTTTTTAAGACGTGTAACAAATATAAGATAATAAGACCTTCGCCCTACTTCATTCATGAATTATGAATTAAAATGTTCATATTCCAAATAGGCCATTAGCATGTTCACTTGGTGAATTTTCAGGTTAAACGTGTAAGTAATTGTAGGGAAATTATTGGAGAGAAGCTGATAAGAAAGCTAGTTAAGAAACGGGTATATAATTGTAGGGCCTAGGCGTGCACTGGCTCGGGCATGCGCGCAGCGGGCTGCGTGAACTGCCACGTGTGGGTGTGTTGTGGTGCCTCATGTGGTGTGTGTCATGGTGCAAGTGGTTACTATGGTACCTCCTCATGTGGTGACAAATATTAGAAAACACTAAACTATCGTGGTGTGTGTTAAACGACGTGTTCACACTACGTGTACTGTTTTGTACTGTTGTAGTGACAAAGCTGTATCACACCGTGTAGTATTTACAGCCCTACTACACCCACCTACACACACCGTGTCTAGTGTAGTGGTGTAACACTACCACTTGTGTTAGGTGCACCAATTCCACATTTGCATAGTGTGTATTTTACAACCCTACTTCACCATTAACACAGGGCGCAAGTGGGTGTGCATCGTGGTGGATGTGCTKACACTGCACACAACGCCCCATGTTGCATCATTTTGCATTGGGTGTGCACACCCACATTGCAAATGGTGCCTTATGTTGTGTGTCATGGTGCAAGGGATGTGCACACYCACAATGCACTTGTGACCATTGTTGCTCTTTCAACATATCACCCATACACACCCCCATGTCACTGCTTTGGTTGACAGTGCCAAACTTGTCTTTGTGCACCTTTCTTGCATGAGAGTAGCTCATCTTTTCATAATAGTGTGGGAGTGTTCCCTTTTGATTCCATGCAATCCCATTTCCACAAAATAAATTTTCCCAATTTTTTTAAAATTTCTAGAATATAAATATGTGAAAAACCATTTCTATCAATACTTTTCGGAATGAAACTTGCTTATTTTGGTGCACAAAACTTTTTGCAGGTGTTCAAAGCAACCCCCATCCCCCCAAATTATTTTTTCAGGTTTTTCTCAATTTTTGGTAATTTTTAGTGATTAAAAATTAATATTTTTCTCAAAAAAATTATTTTAGTTAATTTTATCATTTTTCAATCCTAATGGTATGTAATTGTAGGGCCAAGCCGTGCACTAGCTTGGGCATGCGCGGGCGCGCGGGCGCGGCGGGCTGCATGAACTGCGACATGTGGATGTGTTGTGGAGCCCCCTATGGTGTGTGTCATGGTGCAAGTGGTACCGTGGTGTGTGTTAAACGACATGTTAACACTACGTGTAGTGTTTTGTACTGTTGTAGTGACAGAGTTGTAGCACACCGTGTAGTATTTACAGCCCTACTACACCCACCTACACACACCGTGTCTAGTGAAGTGTTGTAACACTACCACTTGTGTTAGTTCCACCAATTCCATCTTTGCATAGTGTGTAATTTACAACCCTACTACACCATTAACATAGGGCGCAAGTGGGTGTGCATCGTGGTGGATGTGCTGACACTACACACAACGCCCCATGCTGTATCATTTTGCACTGGGTGTGCACACCCACATTGCAAGTGGTGCCTCATGTTGTTTGTCATGGTGCAAGGGATGTGCACACCGACATTGCACTTGTGACCATTGTTTCTCTTTCAACAATTCTCCCAAAAATCTTACAGGCGAAAATGACGGTGATGTCCCTAACGTAAACCTACCAAGCATAGGCAAGGCTAAGCCTGTGTCAAACCGTAACACCATGCTGCATCATTTTGCACTGGGTGTGCACACCCGCATTGCAAGTGGTGCATCATCTTGTGTGTTGTGATGCAAGGGATGTGCACACCCACAATGCACTTGTGACCATTGTTGCTCTTTCAACATATCACCCATACACACTTCCATATCACCGCTTTAGTTGACAGTCCCAAACTTGTCTTTGTACACCTTTCTTGCATGAACTGATTTGTTTTCTTGCTAGGGCTGTGGAAAGCTGATTTGGGTTATGTGAATGAATTGAGAGAGGAATTCACATAATTGACA